TCTGATGGAGAGATAAACTGATGGAGTGATAAACTGATGGAGAGATAAACTGATGGAGAGATAAACTGATGGAGTGATAAACTGATGGAGAGATAAACTGATGGAGAGATAAACTGATGATGAAGGTTGGAGGAAACAGGTAAAGAGAAAGACTGACCTTTTCAAACAGAAGCTTCCACTGCTGAGGCAGGAAGAGCAGAGAGAGGAGAGGAAGAAATGAGACAGTTTGGAAACGATGCTCTCTAATAAAAACCAACTGAAATGATCTTTAAATAAATTCAGTCATTTTCACAAAGTTTTAAAAAGCTAAATGACCCTAAAGGTTGAGCAGGTTCCTCTCTGCTGGGATCAGGAACAGACTTACTGCTTCTTCTGGAAGGACCTCGGTGCTCTCCAACACCTCGATCTCCTCTCCCTCTGCGTGGGCAGCCACTGCCGGGGAGATGTTGACCGGAAGCTCCGGTGCTCCGGTCATCCTCGGGCTGCTCTCCTCCATGCATCCGCTAGATCTCCATCTCTCTCCTCAGCAAAGCGCGCGCTGCTGTTGGACAAAGTTCTCCAAGTTCAGATCCAGATGTTTCTGCAGAGTTTCACTCCGAGAGCCGCGGTGCGCAGAGGAACTATGACGTCATCAGCGGTGACAGCGGGACGGAGAACAAGAAGAAGAGGAAGGGGGCTCGCGGCTGACGGGCACGCGAGGACGAAGGGATGGGGGGGGGGGGGGGATCGATCTCACGCGACGTGCGCACGCGGCGGCCACGCAGGGAGAAGTTCGCACGCGCGCCAGTTTTTATGGTGCGTCATGGCAGAAGGCACGCGGTCCGATCCGCTGCTGAGACCGAGAGGAAGGAGGAGAACCTGCCGGGAGGAGGAGGCTCCGATGCGCCCCCGCCCTCCGAGAGATGGGGGCGGGGGGGGCTCTTTGCTCTGCAGACTGGAACTGGTTCTACTGGAATTTGGAGGAACAAACCAGTTTAGTTAAACAGAACTATTAAATATGCAGAGATGGACCCCTGTTATGGCTCCTGTTGGGGCCCCCTGTTATGGCCCCTGCTGTGCCCCCTGTTATGGTCCCTGCTGTGCCCCCCGTTATGCCCCCTGTTATGGCTCCTGTTATGGCCCCTGCTGTGCCCCCCCGTTATGCCCCCTGTTATGGCTCCTGTTATGGCTCCTGTTGGGGCCCCTGCTGTGGCTCCTGTTGGGGCCCCCGTTATGCCCCCTGCTGTGGCTCCTGTTGGGGCCCCCGTTATGCCCCCTGTTGTGGCTCCTGTTG